TGAAGAGCAAAACCTGTTAGAAAGCTGAACCTTTAATTTTGAGTCAGACATCAGCAATCAGCTTGACTGTGTGGTTGTCAGGTAAAAATGTTTACATGCCAACCTTTAGATTCATCACTTTTCAGCAATATTTTTTCACAAAGATTATGGAAAAAAAACCTGGACTGGTTGAGTAAATACATTTTAAAAAGTGGTTTGAAATTGACATATTTATTTAAGTGTCTATTTGCCATTGAACATTAAAAAAAAGACAGCATTCCTACGTACGTACGCTCTGTAAATCTATGGGGAGGGATGGATGGATGTCAGGGGGTCCAGAAGGAGGATCTGACCCAGGGCCACATTCATAATAGAACCACCACTGAGCCGGTGACATAGAACTTTTCACCAGAAAACACAATGAAGATGAAGACATAAGATGCACATGAGGATGATCTTTATAATTTTTGCCTTCATTTGATTACAATTCCAAAGGAACCTCTGCTCTCCCCCCCTTTTATTTTACCATTTCAAGCCCATTTTTGAGCTTCGATACTTCAAGAAACGAGGGTCCATCCATGATGTGACATTACTGAAAATGGTTTTTATTGGCTCATTTTACACTGAATTGATATAAACATGTCCATGAAACAAAAATGGTTCCAACATTTAAGAAAGGCATATTTGATCATAAGCACAGACAGAGTTCTGGAAACATAAGGTTATCACAAACCGACCAAATGGGAACAAGAGTGCTTTCTGCTACACAAAAACATCCTATAGAACAGGTTATAGTTACGTCAGCTTCCATGTCTTACTTTCGAGTATCCCCCACTTCTTTTTTGTTATATTTTCTTTACTTATCATTATTGTTATCACTATATTTTTTCTTTTGACAGCACATGCAGTCAAGTTATCATCCAGGTTGTCCTGATTCCTGTTAGATTTAGATCATCTCTCTCTCTCCTGATAGGTGATGAATTTCAGTTGTCAGTCTTTGAAACCTCCAAGCTAGTTTTTATGTATTTTATTATTATTATTATTATTATTTTTTTATTATTATTATTATTTTTTTTTTTTTGCTTTGGCACTTCCAGTGTGAAACCCTTTGGCCCTTTTGGCGGCAGGAGGAAAAGTGAAATCTGCAACCTTGTTGTGCTCTGAAGCGTCTCCAGAATGTGCGTCCTCAGAAACAGTCACGGAGCGAGCGAGTGTCACCGAGAGCCAAATAAATACCAAACGAATCAATAAGTTAATTTAAATAGACAAATAAATAGACAGAGAGGCCACATGCGAAATAATAACTCATAGCTTTGACCGGAACCAGCCCTGTGGTTGATAAGAGGCCAGCAGGCCTGATGGAGAGAGTCTCTTCTCCTCATATTTGTAGAGGGAGGGAAAAAAAGAAGCCAGGTGCCTGCAGATTCACAAGTATCCTGGTTTTGTTTTGTTTTGTTTTCTTTGTTGTTTTGAATGCAAGAGAACTAAATGCAGAAAGAAAAATCTCTTCGGCACTAAGTGAAACTCATGGAGACTGTGTGCTCCAGCGCTTTGCGGCGCAGCGACGCGATGCTCGTCCCTCTCCAGACGTCACTGTCCGGGGAGCTACACAGCTGAGGCGAGCCCGTCACGTTGGTGGGGCCGGAGAGAGACGCCGGGACCATCCCGGGGAACGTGGGCTGGTAGAGGTGCGACTGCAGCCCGGAGCCGTTGGACGACATGTTGGACAGACCCATGGAGTTGGGCGGCGGCCCCGCGCCGAGGCTGCACTGGGACAGGGACTGCGCCATGGCCTGCTGGCGGCCCAGGGCGGGCGGCAGCTGCAGCTGAGACACGCCGGGCATCCCCGCCGTGGCCCAGCGGGTGTCGTTGGCGTGGAAGGAGCAGAGGCTGTCGCCCATGGCCGCCGCCGCGGCCGCCGCCGACGGGAACTGGGGCAGGCCGTGGTGCGTGGGCAGCAGCGTCCCCGGCGCTCGGAACACGTTGGTGGTCTTCTTGCGCTTCTTCCACTTGGCGCGTCTGTTCTGGAACCAGACCTGCGGACAGACAGGCGTCGGTGAGTCAGGCGGGAGGTGGCGCATTGACAGCTAGGGTTGCCATGACATCATTGTGTCATCATCACCGTAATGCCAACAAGCAGCGATAAATCAGCCGAATGGGAAACAGTGCCCCTATATTGTACCCAGGAGTGGTCATTTCATATCTCGATCTTTTCATATGAAAAATGGTCGATTATAATTATAACATTTGAGGTAAGAAGAATAACTCTAACCGACCTCAAGTAAGTAGTATGTGTGTGTGTGTGTGTGTGTGTATATATATATATATATATATATATATATATATATATGTATATATATATATATATATATATATATAAACTAAACAGTCCCTAATGAACTAATTGCATGATTTTTAATTACTTAACCGCGATTAATCGCATATTAATCGAAAACCATATATCAACAAAATAAACATCTTTTGTCTGTCTGATTGATTAATTAATCGCGAGTAGTCGCACCTTAATTGGAGATATATATTGACAAAATAAGCAACACTCTTAATATAAACAATACTCTTAATTCAAGTGTGTCAAGTATGAATAAATAGACGTGAGCTCAACAGCAACAACAATATTTCTGTTGTCAATAAATGTAATATTTCAGCAGGAGAGAGTAGAAACATACAAGATTGAATAATATCAACAGTTATAATATATAAGCAAAACAACAGAAAACTAAACGGCAACAACTGGAGGGGTGTTCTTTTTTTTCTATACAATATTTAATAGAAAAGATCAAATTTGTACCCTAATTGTTACTTTGGTTGCAGCCGACTTTCCATGGCGCGCGCGCTCGCCCCTAACAAAGACAATATTCAAGCAGAGATCAATAGTTTGCTCTGTATTCCCGGAGTCCTTGGGCTCCTGTAAGCGGCAGACGCGCCTGTGATTAATGTGGAGATTTGCTTGAGAAAGCGGGCCGCGGTAATAAGAACGGGACCATCTCGCTCCCGGCGAAGCCAGCCGTGAAATCCGGCCTGAAATGCATTACACTTTCGGCGTGGCAAAAAGAAAACGCAATCTCTCATTGGGTCTGAAAAGACAGAGTGCTCTGCTGTCTGCGCGGCGCCGCGGCATTAAGACGTGCAGCGCGTTGACAGGCCCATCGCTAAAGGCGCGGTGCGCCTTCCTCCGCTCCCTCACTCACTCTGAGCCGCATCATTTCACTAATTCTGATTTTATGCAAATACTCCAGACACCGAACGGGCCCATCCAATCATAATAATGATTATTAGAGTATTATTTCACATGGGAGCAGCTAAAGTGCAATTGCACTATGCATCTTTTTTTTCTTTCTTTCTCAGTCAGGATTTTTGCAGAGTCGATGTTCGAATAAACCACGAAGACAAAATGCTGAGGGGGAGAGAAGGGAGGAGGGGGAAGAAGCAATAGACGGAGTGTGTAAGCAAATTATAGAAGAACTTTGAGCATGACATAAATTCAAAACAGTTGAAAGCTAATATGTGCTTGATCAGCGGCCATTAAATGAGTGTAATAAAGCTGCTATCAGCGTCCGGGTCCCAGTAGATCCATTACACGGGATGGGCAGGAAATGTAGGCCAATCTTAATTAGGCTGAATGAATGGCAGAGACGCCTCGTCACTGCAGCTTGGTCTAAAAAGAAATAAATAAATACATAAATAAAACGAGGGTTTATATTTTCTTCGGAAGCGCCAGCTTTGATATTGGAAACGACTGTCAAAAACAAATTGTTTGCGTCATTTCTCCGCACACGTTTACAAGGCGCAAAAATGTCTGTGAATTAAGTAAATTAATAAGTTTGTCATTATTTCATCATTACTGTTGTTGCAATTGTTATTATGATATTATTATTGCTGTTAATATGACTACATTGGAAATGATAAATATTATTATACGGACTAAATTTGTGCAGCTACAATAATCTCTGCAATATATATATATATATATATATATATATAT